TACATACATACATACGTACATAGATGTACACATGTATGAATCATAGGGTCTGTACCAGATTTAGCAGGGTTTTTAAGAGTCCGATAGTGTTGTTAAGGAGGGCTTGGGGTTGTTTTCGGGTGTACACATAGTACGTGCTATGCTCCGTAAGATGGCAACTTGCACCATTGCAGGAATCCAGGCTAGGAGCCCAAGTCTGGTAAGGACAGGGCCTCATTCTTTAGGGCGCCTTAAACCGATGAGAGCATAAGCTACCCTATAACCCTATTCTACTTATCAACGCACCTATATCATTCTGCCCTTCTGATGGTGGTAGCTTAGCGGTTGTGCTTCAGCCCGAAAGTAGCGCAGCCGGCATGGGGCTCAGCTTCATAGCTTCAGACTTACGGCAAAGTCTGGATAGCATGAAGGCCAACCCAAATCTGATGGCCAGAGGCTAGGGCTGGGATATATAGAAGCCAAAGAAGGAGTGTTCTCTTTATGTCATTTTTTCGCAAACAGGTTCTCCCTAAACCCTAAACCCTAAACCCTAAACCCACTCTGTAGATCCTAGGCTGGACGCGAGCGCCGGTGGGCCCGGCTCGACGGCTTTCAGTGGCACGGCATCAGATCGAGTTTGGGGCTTTGAGATTTAGTATAACGGGCCTTAATAATTAGAAGAGGGTGTTGGGGCCCATTATACTATAACTGTAATAATACATATAATAAGGAACCCGCAAAATGATCCCTAAACCCTAAACCCTAAACCCTAAACCCTAAACCCTAAACCCTAAACCCGCAAAATGATATTGGTAGTTGTTTAAGCCCCTACATTACCCTAGGCCCGACGTCCTCCACAAAGCAACCCGGGCATGCCGGGCTGTGGGCCCAGGTTTAGGTTTTAGGGTTTAGGGTTTAGGGTTTAGGGTTTAGGGTTTAGGGTTTAGGGTTTAGGGCAGGTGTGATTTTTCCCGAGCGGGATGCAGAACCCTTGCAGGACCCCTTCATATCAAATCCATATTGATAACCCCAGACTCCCCAACACTCCAAACTCCCTACCTTCATAAGACCTCTCATTTGAGACCCTTTATAAGCCCTGCTATATATATATATATAGATATAGATATATACAGATTTATGTAGAGAGAGAGAAAGAGAGATACAGAGAAAGAAGAGAAGGCCCCCTTTTTGAACTCTTGGAACGGAGGCGCCTTGCCTGGCTGGCGATGGCGCGGGCGCTGTCTGAGCCGGAGTTGGATCGCTCCGTCGTCCAAGGCACGGGTGCTCTCGGTTTACCAACGGTTTAGGGTCTAGGGTTTAGGGTTTAGGGTTTGCTAGGACGATGACCACACGGCGGCCACGACCATTTTGATTACGGTGCACGGCCGTTCTTACTACTGTCAGTGATATCCTCTCAAAGTTTACGAAGCCCTCTGAAATCAAATCCTGTTGAAGCCCACATCAGGTGCAATGGAGGGCATGGAGCACGAGCGGCAGCGCCGGTCCAGCGAACCTCGCGAGGCGATCAACGCGAGCATCATCGTCATCATCATCATCATCACAATCCTCATCACGATCCTGTTAATCATATGCAGGGTCATTCGTGTTAAGTTCACTAGTGGCACTTGCTTATTTTTTCCGATACTTTTACGCCGGTGTACCAGCCAAGCTCGGGCAGTTGGTTGTTCTCTGAATCATCGTCCCATTTAAGTCGCTTGCCCGCACCTAAGCCCTCAAGCCCTAAATCCTAACCCTACACTTCAAAAGAAAAAAGGGGCCTAGATCGGAGGACCCTGCAGTTGCATCGAAGTCACACTGCAGAACCCTGGTCATCTGAGAGAAAGCTAAACAGGCCTTTGATGGCTGCAAAGTACACAGAAGCCTGAACAAATAACCCTAAACCCAAAACCCAAAACCCAAAACCCTAAACCCTAAACCCTAGTTAGTAATATCATTCCTGCGCCGGTTCCCTGCTACGGTATATAACCGTAGGCATCGCATCATTAGCTACATGGCTTAATCAGCCCACGAACAGGGGCTTATTAGGCTTTCGGGCACTTTGGGCCGTTCTGGAGAACACGTTGGGCCCCATGACCTACACCCCTGAACCCCTCAACCCCTCAATCCCTACACCCCTAATCCCTACACCCCTAAGCCCCTGAGCCCCGAACTTGCTAAGCCCCGAAAATCCTAAACCCTAGACCCTAAACCCTAAACCCTAAACCCTAGACCCTAAACCCTAAACCCTAAACCCCTGAGCCCCATGCAGGCTGGCTACCTGTGGCAGCTGGCGCGGGAGCTGGGCACAGCTCCGGTCTTCCAGTGGCTTCAGGACGCCGGGAAGTCGAAAGCCTTGTTGAAGAGAACCACGTTATTATACTGATGTAGGGGCCTTACATAATAATTAGCTATACTATTTTGGGGCTCCTTATTTCATGGTATAATGTACCCCAAAGCCATATTCTAATTATGAAGGCCGCTACATTATACCATTATTCTTAAGGATGGTCACCGCAGTATGGGTCCTCCGGGCCTGGTGTCATAGTCCATCTTGGTAGAATGGCTCAAACAAACCTTAAAGCCTTAGGGTTTAGGGTTTAGGGTTTAGGGTTTAGGGTTTAGGGTTTAGGGTTTAGGGTTTAACCCAGAGCCGCTAGACCCGAAATCCTACACAACCCGAACACCGGAACCCCGAACACGGTGCTAAGGAGGGCAGCCATGTCGCACGCTGTTTAGGGTTTAGGGTTTAGGGTTTAGGGTTTAGGGTCTGCATTTCGGCCTTTTCCTTCGCATCTCACCCTAAACCCGACTTCACGAACCCTGAGCAGAACTCTCAGCCGTTCCATGCACTTGGAACACTCTGTTGATCCCTATAGATACCTCATCAATCCCTATAGATCCCATTTAAGGCCCACAATCCCTATAGATCCCTTATCAATCCCTAAAGATCCCTTTTTTCAGGCCCAAAAGACCAAGAACCCCGCACGGAACCTCTGAACGCCTTAGCCGGAAAGCCGGAAGCCGTCGGAGGAGCGAGGTGCTCCTCGGATGCAGAGTCGGACTAATATAGGGGCCTTAATAGTTAGATAGGGCTCCTTTAAAGGGCTACTATAAGGGTGGTTATAAGGGTTCTGTAAGGACATATATGAAAAAGGGGCCTTAATAGTTAGAATAGGGTTTTGGGGCCCATTCTACTGTAATGATAATAAGGAGCCCCCCAAAATCGTATAGGTAATTATTTAGGCCCCTACACTAAGATAGTTCTGAGAGTTTCAGGGCCCGAGCATCCCTGCAAGCTCTCCAAGTTCATGCCCAGGGGCGCCTCCAAGCCCTTGGGCTCTGCAGGGTTTGCGAACATGTGCTTCACAAGAAGCAGCGAAGCAGATTCCTCAATTACTATACGGGCTTGAAGAATTACCGATGCTATTTTGGGGGGGGGTTCCTGAGTTCTTTTTGTATAGTATAATGGGCCCCAACACCCTATTCTAATGATAAAGGAAGGCCCCTACATTATCTGGGTAGTATTGGGTAGTTCTCTAAAGTAGGTTCCCTTTCAGGCATGCTTTTGACAAGAGTGCCGTACTACATTATTATGTACCAAAAAAGAGACCCTGATTTAGAGAACTGCCCCATTACATCCTAAACCCTAAACCGTAAACCCTGGGGCTCTCTAGACAACGCAGAAAACCAGTGTGAAGCCGTCAAAGCCACACAGAAAACACACACATGGAACCTTTGCAAGCTTATGGCACCCCCGTATGAAGCCCTGTGGCAACCCTAAACCCAAAAGGTCCCAAAC